TTTGTTTGCCTGCTTTTGATTTCATTTTTACCTGTTGGCAAAAATTTCATTTTTCTGTTGGCAAAAAGTGTGTCTGTGTTCCTTTTACTACGAGCTGCATTTGGCCCATGCTGGGGCCAAGTTGGCTGTCTGGGGATGCCAAGGAGAGGCTCCTGATGAGCTGTGCTGTGCTGAGCCAGCTGGGGATGTGCTTGGCCCTCTCTGTGCACAGGATTTTTCTTTCGTGCTGTTTTATTACTGGCACTGGGCTATATTGGGGGTAAGAGGGGAAACCGAAGTGGTCAATGAAGTCAATCAGCCATTCTCCCAGCCTCCAGTCAGTAATTCTGTCCATTAACCAGCCAACAAGCCAGCCAGGTAGCTCAGCAGTAAGAATGTGAGGCTGTTAGGCATTTTGTCTGTCCTGAGCTGGCTTGTCAACCAGGGCATGAGTGAGTCAGACTGCCCTGCAGCCGGCCAGCTCATTAGTCAGCCAGCCATTCAGCCTCTACTTTGGTCAAATGGTCTCACATTATATTTGTCAGCCAATGCTATTTTCTCAAAGCTGTCTCCAGTTTCTGAAACCAAATTAGTCACACACACACACATTCACACTTACCCACCCACGTAACACTCCAGGACATTCTACGTTTGGGTAGCTCTCTATACGTTTTCCTCAAAGTGCTTATCACACCTCGCAATCATATTTATTTGCATGGTTATTTGATTTGGGTTATGTCTTATTTCTTGCTCGATTGTAAGCTCCATGAGGGCAGGAACTAGGTTGGCTTGGTTCTGAAATGCATGGATGCATCTTTCACTTTGTCATGTTCTCCAGGAGGCATCGAGCCAGTTTATGGCAGCTTGTTGGGTGGACAAAGCAGGGCACAGGAGCATTTCAGCCAGAGGGAATAGCATAGGTTAAGGCATGAAGATGTGAAGGAACATGAGGAACTGTAAATACTTTGTAATTGCTGGAGTATAAGGTGAGCGACAGTGATGGGAGGGGAGCGCCAGTGGAGTTAATGCAGATATGGTTGGAGATGGAGGTTGGGTGCAGGTCCTGAAGGGCTTTGTATGCCATTGTAAGGCAGTTGGATTTTCTACAGGTAATGAGCTATTGAAGATTTTAAATGACAATGAGACTTGTGCTTTAGAAAGAGCCTTCAGACTTTGGGAGGCTGAGGCGGGTGGATCACTGAAAGTCAAGAGTTCGAGACTAGCCTGGCCAACATGGTGAAACCCCGTCTCTACTAAAATACAAAAATTAGTCAGGTGTGATGGCAGACACCTGTAATCCCAGCTACTTGGGAGGCTGAGACAGGAGAATTGCTTGAGCCCAGGAGGCAGAGGCTGCAGTGAGCCAAGATTCTGCCATTGCACTCTAGTGTGGGCATCAGAGTGAGACTCCGTCTCAAAAACAAAAACAAAAAGAAAGAGTCTTCAGGGTCATTCAGGGCCAAACATGGTGTCTCATGCCTGTAATCTCAGCACTTTGGGAGGCTGAGGTGGGAGGATCACTTGAGGCCAGGAGTTTGAGACCAGCCTGGTAAACATAGTAAGACCACGTTTCTTCTTCTTCTTCTACTACTACTACTACTACTACTACTACTAATAATAATAATAATAATAATAATAAAGTAGAAAAGAATCTTCAGGCAGCAATATGGAGGTAAAGTGGATTCAAGTGGGTAGAAACTAGAGGGAGGAAGGCCAGTCAGGAAGTTATTGGAGGTTCTTGGGTTAGTGTGTCCCAACCTTTTCCATATCATGAGAAATGTCACAATTCATATGACAAAACATACAAACAAATGAGGCATACATATATACCAGATGAGGCAGCTTGTGGCCAGAGGCAATAGGGCTGAGAATCCGAGAGGCTCAGTATCTCAGCACACGGGCCACCCACTCACACATACCTTGAGGGGTTTTGATCTGGCAGGAAGATGATAAGGTCCTGAAATGAAGCAGTGGCAGTAGGGATGGCTGTGATGTGCATACCCCTGAGGCAAGCCTAGTGAGTCTTGGGCCCTCGTGGTAATGGTGGTAGCCACCGTTTACACTCAAATCTCAGTATCTGTATATCCTTCTGCCATCAGTGGCAGGGTTACAGTGGCAGCAAGACAGCAAGAAGGGGTATCTGACTCCCTGCCCCCCAAGTTCATTTCCTTTCCATACTTTTTTGTCTTTATTTTGTTGTATGCAAGTTTGGCTATTCTGTTGTGACTGAGAAGCATTCATTAACTGGAGGTATGAATGTCCCCTCTACCCCTTCCTAATAATGACTAAAAAGTGATACCTATCTCTGGCCCCTTTCTCACTGGAAAAAAAAAAGCTGTTGCTCTTCAGGGTACAAACTGTTCCTTTTTCCTCCCAATGGTATTGCATGAACTCCATAGGAGCATCACTAACTTGTTGCCTTAAAGTTGGGGCAGAGTCCAAATGCCTTATTGTGGCATGCATTGTAATTGAATGTACAACAACTATGAAAGAATTCAAGTTAGTATTTGATCCAACACAAGACTGTGTAGTATAGACATAGGGCTATATGATTTCTGTGATAGGAAAAGAATTCAAGGGAGTAGACTGGGCATGTTGATTTTTGAATCGCCAGCATAGAGGTTAAAGCAGACACCCTGATGGAGAAGAATTGAGGGTTGCACACTGAGCCTAGGATATAGCTAGGGCGAGGAGGTTGCACATGAAGAGCCAGCCGAAGAGAGAGATGAAAATGGTCAGATTACAGAACCAGAACACAGCTCACAGAAACAGAAGCCAAGAGAAGAATTTCCAAAGAAGGTGATTGCTGTTAGCAAATGTAATAACTTGAGATGTGTGATGAATGAATACAATTGTTTCTAGCTGTAAAGAAGTTTTACTTCAGTGGGCGCTGTGGCTCATGCCTGTAAATCCCAGAACTTTGGGAGGCCAAGGAGGATCACTTGAGCCCAGGAGTTCAAGACCAACCTGGGCAACATAGTGAGACCCTGTCTCTATTTAAAAAAAAAAAAAAAAAGGCAAGAAAGAAGTTTCACTTCTAGATCAGGTGGCTAACTATGGCCCATGAGCCAAATCTGACTCATTGCCTGTTTCTGTAAATAAAGTTCTATTAAAACACAGTCATGCCTATTTATTTAATTTACAGATTATCTGTGGCTATTTCCACACTATGTACAATGGCTGAGTTGTTGTGACAGAGCCCGCATGGCCCACAGTGCCTAAAATATTTACTCTCTAGCCCTTTGTAGAAAATGTGTGTTGACCCCTGACCTATATGAACTACAAAATATTCAGCTCAGGCTCTGTGTTGGAATCCTGGGAAAAAGAAAACCACTGCAACTTTAGCTAACAGCTGAGCTGGTTTGGAATCAGAATTGTGCCCCAGGTAATGGTGATTTAGCCAAGGAAGGCTAATCTAGTTGGTGATCAAGTTCTATCAGGTCTTCATAATGTCCCTTCCTTTTCACTGGACCAGCCACCACTCTAGTGGAGGCCCTGACCACCTCTCTCCTAGACTGTTGCAGTAGCCTCCTCATTGGTCAGAGAGGGGCCTCATTTCTTCTGCCTAATTCTCATATTTCTTAATGCCTGGTCTGGGTGACCCACAGCCCCATGGCTCCCTCTTTAGCCAGTCTTCAGTGATCTTTATCCGGAAACCACTGCCCTGTTCCAAGGAGAATGTTCCCAAGGCTGACTTCAGTCTGGCTCAAACTTGATCAAGCCACAGTTAAAATTATAATACAGATACTAGGAGGTTTTCTTGAAATAGTGCTGATTTTCCTGAATAGCATTGCCTGGTCTCTGAAGCAGTTAACCAGTTAACCCCAGGACTATCTAACTGATTTAGAGTTAGGAACAGAAGTCAACAATGTATGCTAGTATTTCCCAAGGTGGGTTAACAACAACAACAACCTTGTTACCATGAGATGTTCTATAAAAATAGATCATTGTGGTCTAATAAATTCAGAAAACTTAGAATATTAAAGCTTTTCTTTTGAGTTTCCCAGTGCACAACGATATATTAAAGGGTCTTATGAATTCTCATAGTAAAACTATCTGCATAGTGTTATTTAACCCAATGTCACAAACATATTTGACCAAGGAGTTCTTTTAATAAGCACCAATTAACAACATCTCAAAGACACAGGGAAATAAAGGAAGAGGGATAGAGCATGATGCTTTTTTTTTTTTAGACAAAGTCTCACTCTGTCACCCAGGTTGGAGTGCAGTGGCACCATCTTGGCTCACTGCAACCTCCACCTCCCTGATTCAAACGGTTCTCCTGCCGCAGCCTCTGGAGTAGCTGGGATTACAGGCACGGGCTAATTTTTGTATTTTTAGTAGAGATGGGGTTTCACCACGTTGGCCAGGCTGGTCTCGAACCCCTGACCTCAGATGATCCTCCTGCCTCGGCATCCCAAAGTGCTGGGATTACAGGCATGAGACACCGCACCCGGCCGAGCATGATGCTCTGAGCAGAACAGCAGGCCGGAAAGACTTTGGCCCTAAAGGCAGAGTTACGACTTGATTCCACAGAGATTCCTTTATGTCCAGGGAGGTGTTCTGGGTGTTACGGGGGCATGTGAAGATGAGCAAGACATAACTGTTGCACCCAAGGGACTTAGAATCGAGGGGGGGTCTAGGCCATTCTGAAATCTAACCTAGATTCCCAACTTTACCCCCGCTCTCCCAGCTGGCCTGTACATCTGCTGAGCCCTGGCAAACACAAATACAGCTACATAGCAGTCACATGAGGTTATATAATTTTAGTCCTTTTCAGTAAAGGTAGTTCATTAAATGTATAAAGGTTGATTTAATTTTGATACTTGGGTAAGAGGTTATTACAAAGAAATTCTCAAATCAGAAGAAACTATTTGTCAAGCCCTGTGCCTCAATTTTTGGTTCAGAAAGTATAGTTCCTTTAATTATGCAAGTCATCTTTTCCTAGCTACCATGCCTCTGGAAATGCATCTGCCTCCCTCCTTCCCGTATCTTCATGTTTCTTCCCTTCTCTTCTGCAGCCTCTGGTGCTGTTGATGGAGTGGCCTGAAGCCACCAACTTTGCCTGCCTGATCGCGGGTTACTGCCGCCTCTTGCTGGATTCCAGGAAGATGGTCTTCTCCAGGCCTGCCAGCCAGCCACTTCCACCTCCAATGATCAAGGCAGGTAGGGCTCAACCTCGGTTGGTTTTTGCTGTGCCAGAGGCCCTTTGGACCCTGGAGACATGGAGGGAAGAGCTTCTCTGCCTTAGTGCTCACCCCGTGCCAACAGTGCCTGATTTGCCAGGAGCCAAAACTGTAGCACTGTATCCTAGCTGGCACAGCCCAATGGGAAAGACAGCTGGCCTTCACATGTACCTGTTCCCCAAAGGATACCTGTGACAACATTGTGATTGAGTCAACCAATGAATGTATTATTAAAATACCAAACATGATAAATAGAGCCAATTAAATGGTTGCATTGGATCTAAGGCAAAGCTTTAGTGGTGTGGAGATCTAGAGGAAATTTACAGGTGTGCTGGCTCAGTTGAAATGGAGGTGAAAATGAATATAAAGGTCTGATGAAAAGGAGGTGGCTCAAAGAACAGATACTTCACATATTAGACCTAAGGCTCATGTAGATGCAGTAAGTGCTTCTCCGCCCCAGCACCCAGAAATAATGAGTGAAGCTGAGACTTTGCCCTTCTCACATGCTGAATACTCTCAACCCACTTGCCCTTGCTGCTTGACTATTTCTTTCTTCAAGGCTGTGGTTTTCTGAGTAGTCAGATCACACTTTGGGAAGCCAAGACGGGCAGATCACTTGAGGTCAGGAGTTTGAGACCAGCTTGGCTAACAAGGTGAAACCCTGTCTCTACTAAAAAAAAAAAAAAATAGGCCAGGCATGGTGGCTCACACCAGTAATCCCAGCACTTTGGGAGGCTGAGGTGGGCGAATCACCTGAGGTCAGGAGTTTGAGACCAATCTGGCCAACATGGTGAAACCCCGTCTCTACTAAAAATACAAAAATTAGCTGGGTATGGTGGTGTGGACCTATAGTCCCAGCTGTTTGGGAGGCTGAGGCAGGAGAATCGCTTGAATCCAGGAGGCAGAGGTTGTAGTGAGCCGAGATCATGCCACTGCACTCCCATCTGGGTGACAGAGTGAGACTGTCTCAAAAAAAAAAAAAAGAAAAAAGAAAAAAAGCCAGGTGTGGTGGTGGGTCCCTGTAATCCCAGCTACTCGGGAGGCTGAGACAGGAGAATCGCTTGAACCCAGGAGGCAGAGGTTGCAGTGAGCCGAGATCCCGCCATTGTACTTCAGCCTGGGCGACAGAGCAAAACTCCCCCACAAAAACCAACAAACAAACAAGCAGTAGTCAGATCAGATCTCCATCGAGCTGTTTGAGAGCCGAAACACACTCCTGATGGATGGCCCAGACCTAGAAGGCTGTGGACACCCCTCACCCATACACATCTTCTCACCTCTTGTCTCTTCATCACAATCATCATGACATGCCTCATGACCTTGTCCACAGGAACTAAATGGCAATCCATCAAACACAGATTTGGGAAAGGATAGGTGGCCCTAAGACATATGAAGGAGATTCCACATAGAAAAGCAAAGGAGCTGACTTAGGATAGTAAGAAACCAGGGGGCTGAGTTGCTACAAGTCTCCAGGTGAACAACACTGAAGAGGCGGCCACACTAGCAAACCTACAGATGGCCGAATGATGGAAAGCCAGCATTAGCATTATCACTGTCACTTCTGGTCTTCCTCTCTCTAATCACATCCAAGTAAACTATACCTCCTACTGAGTAGGCTAGAGAGGGAGAAAAGGAAAAGGGAAGATAAAGTGAAGAACCTGGAACCCAGCCAAAGACCAAATGTGACAGTGAAGATTATTCGGAAGGAATGCACTTTCAGAAGGCACTGGAGATGGCTCTGTAGTCCCACGCTACCTAACAGTTTTTTGGCATCCCATCAGTACCCTAGCCAATGCTGACCCCAAGTATTCCTCTTGCTGTGGGGATAGTGGCACCAAGTAGAGGGATATGTGCTTCGTATGTTCCCGCAGCCTCACTGAACACATTCCAACATTCCATGTTGCTTTTCCAAAGGCAAATCTGTTTTCTTACATTCTCTATGGGCTAGGCATGGCTTTAAAACACCCCACCCCCAACCACTTTCCTAACTTCTGAGAACCGCCTTGGGCCTGCAGAATGATGGGGGCTCAGGTTGCCTCCAGCACAGGGCCTCTGTGTCCATGCAGGAACCAGATGGAGCACTGTGATGTGTCTGTTTTTGCGGTACTTCTCCCTTTTGGGTAGAAATAATCAGCTCAGGGGCAGAGACCTACAAAAAGTTCTGCTCTTCCTTCCCCATCTCTTCTGGCCAGAAACATGAGAACTTGAACTAGGCATCATATCACGAGGTACATGGTTTAAATCTTGGACCCCGTTTCTTAGTTTTTTGAACTGTTAGGTGCTCTTGGTGGGTGGAGTGGGGTGGAGTGATCCTCACGGCTCTACTTGAGTTCGCTGAGCTGCCACTGCCCCAGCAAATTTCTAGGACTTGGTGTGCACATTTTGTCTTACTACGTCTAAGAAGGGAAGGGCACAACTGAGCAGACCTCAGCTCAGGTTACAGTGAAGGATTATCAGTTCCTGATATTGTAGACTTTTAGGACCAAGGTCCAAAATTGAAATCAGTTTCCTACACCAGGCCCTACTTTCATCCCAGAACAGAAGCCCCAATGCCAACTGTTGTTCCTTAACAAAGGCCAACAGGGAATAGGTATCCTCCCAACCTTATCTGGACTTTTCCCCCAGGGTCCAAAGCCACAGCCCACTTAGGTCCCGGTTTTTCAGGAAAGGGAGGAAGAGGTCTGGCCAGCTCTATTCTTGTCCCACATCAGCTGCTGGCTGTCAGCCAAGTCCAACTCAGGGCCCAGCCTATTGGGCCTAAAGGATGAAGTTAGACCAGCAACTGGGAAAGTGAAAACATCATCTTCCTTCAAGTCTCAGAAAAAAAGGAGAATGGGGACATGGTAGGGAAGGGACTCCCTCTTGGGCTTTATCAGTAGCTTCACCAAAGGTACTATACTTATTCACTTAACAAATCAAGCACTCATCATGTGCCAGGTGCAGAAGATGCAGGCATGAATAACAGACATGGTCCTTATGGTCCTTGCCCTCACATAGCTTGCAATCTAGTAGAGGGGAAATACTGACAGATGATTAAAAGGATAAGGTCAATAACTTAAGTACCTTTGCTTTTATATATGAGAGATTCAACAGATACAACAGAGCAGTGCCTGGGTTTGAGGGCCCAGAAAGGCTCTGAGCTTAGAGAAAGGTCTAGAAAAATGCCAGTTTTCTATCTCTAATGAGGTGGTGGGCAATCCAAAGGCAGCTACCATCTTTCTGCAGCCCTGAGCTCTCTGTATCCTGGGGGAATCCAGGAGAAAAAGGCTTTGAGGGCCCCTGTTAGGTCCTCAGTTGGAGGAACTCACTCTACATTTTCTACCATGGTTAGAAAACAGTTTGGTCGGGTGAATTGAACATTTTGGTTAATGGTTACTATATATCCCTCGAGTGCCTTACCAATTTTCATGTAGTTAAAACCCAGCAACATGTACAGAGTACTAAAGTAAGACTGAACATAGTAGACTTTTTTTGGATGATTCAGAAAGAGCATGAGGTTCTTGCAAGGCCTCTAGGTCGTCATTATGACCAGTGATTATTGGACTATAGAATAGAGCAGGGCCAAGTACTAGAATGCTAGGTGAGTCAATGTCACACAGACCGTATGTTTATATATATATATATATATCTGCATATATTTTCTTTTTTTATTATACTTTAAGTTCTAGGGTACATGTGCACAATGTGCAGGTTTGTTACATATGCGTACATGTGCCATGTTGGTGTGCTGTACCCATTAACTCATCATTTACATTAGGTATATCTCCTAATGCTATCCCTCCCCCCTCCCCCCATCCCATGACAGGCCCCAATGTGTGATGCTCCCCTTCCTGTACCCAAGTGTTCTCATTGTTCAATTCCCACCTATGAGTGAGAACATGTGGTGTTTGGTTTTCTGTTCTTGTGATAGTTGGCTGAGACTGATGGTTTCCAGCTGCATCCATGTCCCTACAAAGGACATGAACTCATCCTTTTTTATGGCTGCATAGTATTCCAAGCTGCATATATTTTCAAACACAACTCCAGTTGAATCACCGTCCTGTTCTTTGCAAGCATTTTTTTTCTAGTGAGTCTTCTGAGTGACTGAGTACAGAGGGATAGACTAGGGCAATCCCCTTGGGGAAAGCTGATGAGCAATTTACACCATATTTGCAGTCTGGGAGGCATACTGTCCTGAACCATCAGCCAGCTGCACCTGGCATTACTGGCACTTCTAATCTTCTGCCAGGAGGAGATTTGGGATTCTCCAGGCGCATTTTGTCTTCTGATCTGGAAGTCATAGTACCAAGTGGTGGACAGGGCATTACCTGGCCTTGACAGTCTATGCTTACAGATGTTTCCATCTTGCAGGGAGGGAAGCCACCCTTAGAATCCAGCCTCTGTTTGAGAGGGGTCACTATCCGCCACCCTTAGAATCCAGCCTCTGCTTGAGAGGGGTCACTATCCGCTTATTGGGCATGCCACTTGGAGCCACCTTTGATGGCAGCTTATTGCCAGGCTGGCTATCCTGATTGCTCAGCTGTCTCATAGGTAGTTAGCACCTGGTATATCCCCAGGACCTGTGGACAAAGTCTTGATGTAGAGAGACATCATGAACTTATAGTTCATACTCCTGGCTGATTGCTCCTCTGGAGCACTTATTCCCTAAGTCTCAGAGGCCTGGATGAAGGGTAATTACATAATATTCCCCCAACTGACCCAGAGTTCCTGAGATACAGTAAAGCCCAAAAAGGCCTGAACCAACCCCACTCATTGATTCTATGTTTAAAGCAGCAACATGGTCTATGGAAAATTGCAAGAGCTTGAGATCTGCAGTCACAGAGACTTGGGTTCCAGTCCCTGTTTTGCCATATCTTAGCTATGCGATCATAACTAAATGCCAGAAACTTCGTCTCAGTTTCCTCATATGTAAAATGAGGATAATACTATTACCTGCTTCATGAGGAATTTGACAGGATTGTGTGCGATAAACCACATAAA